ACTTTCATTTAATGTGTGATGATTTCAAAAAACAACTTAGCATATCGGGAGAAGTACATGTAAAAAAATTTTAGAAAGTCAAATTTTATTTGGAGATGAAATTCATTCTCACCCCTGGGGGCGATGCCTTTATGGGGTGGATATCAATTTGTATATATGGAGGGAAAGTGATGTAGTAGTTTATACAATATTAAAAAAANCAATTGATTAAAAAAAATAAATAAATCAAAAGTTCTATAATTTGAAAATATTGAGAATATTTTCTTAGACACAAATGGCTATTATAATATATTATAATCCGTTATTTACAGGCACGGACCTACATGAAGTCCGACTAATTTTTTTTTGAAAAAATCATTATATATATTTAAAAAAAGCTACTAAATATGGACAAAAATGCAACAAGTATTACAATATATACATAATTAAATTAATAATATTATTTATTTATTGAAAATTATATTAACAATTTTTATATTTTTCATTTCTAGATAAAGTTTTTGAATATACTTATAACGATTTACTCTTTCGCCTATTAATTGTAAACCGGTTTATGATTTGTAAAATTGATTAGATAGCTGGATTGTTAGATTTTTGAATGCCGACATTTTACTTTTTTTTTTGTGTGTATAATCACATATTTTTAACTTTATTTTTTCCTTAAGAAAAATGTTCATTTGATGTGCTCTCATCAACAAAAATGTTATACAATGTTTTGCAGAAGAAATTTTTAACGAGAAACCTTATTTTTCTATAAATTATAGATGTTGAATTTAAATTATAAATACATGAAATTTTATATTTTTTTAATTTTTTTTTAAAAAGAAAATTGAGGGTGACGTGGTTTATAAGTTTTTAATTTTTATTTATAAGTAAACTCATTGTTATATGAAATGAGCGTCTTAACTTAAACTACAAACTTATTATTTAACATTTAAAATGGGAACCCTGTAATATATGTTCTCTCAATAAAACTTTCGGAGAAAACCTTCTCCTTGTCGATCTACTGAATAGATCGACAATATCGATGTCTCATTTATTTATCACATATTTACTTGTTTATTTTTTGTGATTTTATTTTATATTCTCTCTTATTTCTCGCCTTCAATTACATCATATAAAATGTAGTAACTCCCGATTTAATCGCCCACATATATCAACTGTAATAGTTGGCGGTCGATCGTCAACAAAATGGCGCTAGAGGAAAGGGGTCATCAAGAGTTATCTCTGAACCCATCCCTTAAAGATCTCCCTCGATAAAGGTATTCTCTTTAAAACATTTTTGTCACTCATTTGATACACAACCGTAAGCTCTACCCAAAGAAGGGCAACCCAGCTAACCCTCTTTTTTTCTTTTTTTGATTGGTCAGTAGAAAGTGCGGCTCAACCGACCGCCATTTCCAATCACCCCTTTATTCTCTGAAATGAAAATTCACCTAAACTTTCTGCTTCATCACATCACAAAAATAGAAGAATACACACTCTCAAATGCTACTTTGGCCACCTAGTGTGCAACTAGGTTGACAATACAAGTAGAAACATCTACAAAGAAAATATATATATACATATACACGAGTGAATGTTTCCACTTGTGCTATATGTACAATCAAATTGTACAATGAGTTATACAATATGATATACAGCGATAAATTCTTAAATCTCAATAATTTGAAAATGAAGTAGTTGTGTTTAAAAACACTACACTTTATTGTTTCAACACCATTTTTATTTTTATTTCATATTATTTTATTTTTGTCTTAAAAACATAATATAAAGAGAAAAAGTACATTTTTTTTTCGCTTGCAAGCATTACTCTAAAATGTAATATACAAATTTTTAACATCCAATTGTGATATTGTTAGCATCAATCGCGTTATGCAACACAGCTTTTCTACGTTCAAAATTATATAATTTATACTGAACCTTTGTTAATCTATAAAACTTACATATAATTTTTTTCAATAAATAACAATTTATAGGTAAACAAACTGTCAATGTGAATAAAATTTCTATTTGAATTTCATGTTTCATAAATTACTATATAAATATATATAGCTTATTTATTTATATGTTATACTTCTTTATGTTTGTACAGTTTATATGTGTTTTATATGTTTTTATGTTTACGTTTATCTAAATCACTTATTAAATAATCAATATTTCAAAAAGTAAAAACTATAATCTGAATTTTTATCTAAAAATGTATTTATTTATTTTTATTTCTTTCACAAAAATAATACTTATTAAGATAATATATATACAGTTTCCTTTCGATTTCTCCCTTGTACCCGTTACCCGAATTCGCGCAAGTGTGTCATAACAGAAAGTATTTAAGTAAAATACACAAAATTTCTAAGTTAGATATGAAGTAATCTTCCACAAAACAATACCAAGGCAAATTTATTAAGTAATATTTATGAGGACAAATTAGTAATTGATATGACATTATCAAAGTCATTGTATAAATAGCATTTTCCATACGAAAAAAGGTTGCAAAACAATTTAATATGAACGAAAATCCTCTTAATACCGAGGTTCTGAAAATTGGACCGGAACGGTCGGTTCGACCAGTTCAATCGGGAACCGACCAGTATATCGCTCCTATTTGAGGTATGGAACTGCTAGGCTGACCAGTACACCGGTCTTGTTTGAGGTATGGAACTGCTGGGGCCCGAAACCGGCTAAGAACCGGTTAAAAACCGCAAAAATTGTAAAACCGATAACGGATAACGCGGTCCAAGTGTGGTCATTTGTAAAATTGGTTGTAGAACCATTTAAATAGCTAACCTCTTTTCTTTGGTCCCGTTTGGTAGATAGCGGATTGAAGATAAATTAACGGATTGGACTTAATTGAAAGGTTTGACCCGTCAAATCCGCTATTGAGTTTGCTTGGTAAATAGCTTATTTGATAAGATTTTTGAGCCCAAAAGTCTAATTTAAAAAAATTTCATTAGAGCAGCGTTTTAGAGATAAAAGATTCACAAAAAAACTCTTGGGACATTTTCACTTATGCTACACGATTGTAGGAATATTGCAAAATTACCATTAATACACAATTAATTGTGTATGTACCTAATAGCTAGTAATTAATTATATTGTTGCCTAAAAATCAGTTACAGATCTTGATTCCATATTCCATATTTAAGAAAAGATGACCAATTAGACCTGCTCAACCACCGCCTGAGACCTTCTTGTTTGCTCGTCTCATGTACGTGATCTCGAGTGTATATCTTAGGTATATTTTATGTATATGTGGGTTCTGAAATCGATTTTGAGAAACTATTGAAACTCGAGTGTATATTTAAAGTATATTTTGTGTATATTTTGTGTTTGCTCGTCTCATGTACGTGATCTCGAGTGTATATCTTAGGTATATTTTATGTATATGTGGGTTCTGAAATCGATTTTGAGAAACGATTGAAACTCGAGTGTATATTTAAAGTATATTTTGTGTAACATATACTGGTTTTGGCTTGGGATGGACTGGATCATTCATATGCAGTTCCAACCCCTGTGAATGGAAAATGGAAAAATAAAAAAATGGCTGACGGAGAATAGGTCCAAGAAGATGAGTGGTGGTCCATAGGGGTGCTGCTGTTGAGAATAGATCCTTGGTTCAAATCGATTGGTTCGGGAAAGGAATTGAAGGCACCCCTTTCACGTTGCATTAGTTTCATGAGTACAATAGGGGAAAAAAAACAAAGGAAAAAAAGAAGAAAATACTATGGACACAAGTACAATAGTTTCACGAGGATCTGCAGACAAAAAAAAAAAAAAGCAGACTCAATTCAAGATATGCAAAAGAATTGTAACTTGCACATACTAAACGGGTTTTATGCAAACATTTGCTTCAGGTTTTTAAATTGTCGGCAAAGATAGCATCTTTATAAGTCTTTGGTCTTTGAGGCGGAAGTCTTCGGGATAGAGCAGCGGCGAAGGGGCGGTGGTGGGCGGTTAGATCTGAATCGTCTATATCGGAGGTCGTTGAACCACGGTGGAGATTAGGCGTTCGCGGCGGGGATGGATGGATGGGAGAAGGCGAAGTGGCGAAGGGGCGGTGGGTGAGAAGAACCGGCGGATTTGTAGAAGAAGATAATGAGAGAGAGAGAGAGAGAGAGGGGGGGGAGAGAAGAAGAAGAAGAAGAATAGATAGGGAGAGCGAGAAAAAGTGTCGTGATAAAGATCCCATTAAATCTGTTCTTACCATAATTAAAAATAATTAGTTGTTACTTAATAATCTAGTATGTTTGTAAATATATATGATACTTTTAGTTAATTTGCAAATAAATATATATGAATTGTAAATATGTAATAAAAATGTTAATGTGCAGTGCAGGATGTAATTTCCTCAAAACTCTTTATCTGTCCACGATGTGGGATGTTAAAAGCAAATAATGGCATGCCCAATTTATTGGGCCGCTAGTGAGCCTTGTTTTTCTACTAGAAGTTCTATGTACTACAAGACTAAAGAAGTATAAGCGGCCAACTACCAATTTATGTGTATAGAATGAGCCACTACCAAGTATAGGTGCACCATTGGCTTATTGGGCCCTGACTGAAAGCCTGAAAGGGATAAATTTGGACATTACATAGACTTGTAGGAGTTACTTACAAAATGTGGTCATTACAAAAGTATGTAGGGACAAATATTTTTATTTTATTTATTCAGACAAAGGTTATAATATACTATAAAGTTAATTATAAAAATATATTACAATTATATACTATACATATAAAATAAAAAATTTATATTAATTAAATTGGTTCAATCGATTTAACCATTGATCCGACCAGTAAACTATTGAACCGATAGCTTCATCCATTCAATGACATGACCCATTCATTTTTGAGAACCTAGCCTAATACACAATGGTCAATAAAATATTACATGTGAAATAAAACTTCTACACGAATAATTCCAAAAAAATGTTTTTATCTAATTAAACTATTAAAGTGTAACCTTTAAGCCAAAACATCAAATATAGGGCAATTTTTTTATTCATTTTAGGAAGCACGTGACACGTGCACCCAGCGCAGACAAGACAATCGTCCCTCTAAATTACCAACTTCTTCCAACTGACTTGTCCATGCTTCCTTCCTACTGCCTAGCTTTCTCCGCCCAAAATCTTCACTCTCACTAACAATTCTCCACGCGGCCGTACACGGCGGACCTCGGCCTCCCCATGGCGCAATCTATCAACCTCTTCATTTCAATCTCACACTCCACCAAGCCCTCGCTCGGCTCCCCCAACGCCGCTCTCCGTTTCGCCCTCGCGAAGAACCCTAGCCGGACCTCCCTCTGCATCAGGGCCTCCGCCGCCTCGGACACAAATCCGGCGTTTCTGACATCAGAAAACGGCGGCGGCACCGTTTTGGCAGCCGATCCTTTGCGCACGGTCGCTGATTCCAGCTCAATCGACGTGGATGCGGTGACGGAGGCAGAGCTAAAGGAGAATGGGTTCCGTAGCACGCGGCGGACGAAGCTGATCTGCACGATAGGCCCCGCCACGTGCGGGGCGGAGCAGCTGGAGGCGCTGGCGGTGGGCGGGATGAATGTGGCGAGGATTAACATGTGCCACGGCACCAGAGAGTGGCACCGGGAAGTGATTGGGCGGGTCAGGAGGCTGAATGAGGAGAAGGGATATGCGGTGGCCATCATGATGGATACGGAGGGGAGCGAGATTCACATGGGGGATCTCGGTGGTGCTTCGTCGGCTAAAGCTGAGGTAGAGACTGTTTTAAATTTATGAAACCGACCCTGGAAAGGAGGGGGGTAATCAATGAAACTGCGCAATGATTTGAATTGTGAGTTATGAGGTGGAAATTGTATTACATGTTTGAGAAAGAGATTACTTTTAATTACAGAATGGGATGACCTGGGATTTCAGATACAAACGTCGTTATGGATATTGTGACCGCAAAAAAGAATGTCCAAAAATTTGTCAATAAATCAAAGAATGTTTTTTTTATCCAAAAATGGAATCTTAATACAGCTAAGAAGAAATTTTCAACTATGATTTTGTTTTTAACTTTTACATGAATTGCAGTTTCTTTGATGTTATATTATAGAAAGATTATGTTATGAACGTGTTTGTACTGGACTACTGGTTGAGTAAAAATTTATTGCAGGGAATGTAACTTAAATATAAGTAGTTAATACTAAGTATATTTTTAATAATGGTGTCTTATTTTTGTTATTTGTAGAATGTCAGGTGACACTATAATAGACACTGAATCATTATATTTGAACTTATATTTTCTTCTAAAAGGTCAGTATTATTATGGGGTATTATGCATATATGAAATGTAATACTAATCAATTCACTGATAAAAAGTTATGCTTGTCCGTTTACACTATTAGCACAACTTTGTTAAATAATTTCACATCAACTATCATCACTGAAATTGAGCAATATTTTTTAATTGTGGTAATATCAATTTGTTTGTGACATTAATCAATAATCATGGGACAGGATCGTGTATGCTGAAGACATTTTATACTATCTGAGTTAAAAAGTTAAATTGCATATAACCAAACAGCTTACATGTACTTTATATTATAAGTTCTGCAGCTTGTAAGATATAGTTTAAGCTTAACCCCCATTATTTCTTAGTAGGCAATTTTTTTTTCTTGAAGAGAAGCATGTTGTACTTTCAGTTTTATGACAAAATAGCCTCTAAGTTGCAACTTATAACTATAGCTATTCTTTTTGGTCGTATGCAGGATGGTCAAATCTGGACTTTCAGTGTTAGAGCTTTTGATACGGCTCTTCCAGAGCGCACTATTAATGTGAACTATGGTGGCTTTGCCGAAGGTTAGAAGAACATTTTTGAAATGAAATTATGTCCAATTAGACTTTGCAGTCATCGTTATTGACCATATTTTGCATGGTTTTATTTTGCTAATGAAATTGTGCAATTATAATGAGACAGATGTAGAAATAGGAGATGAGCTTCTCGTAGATGGTGGAATGGTGAGGTTTGAAGTGATTGAGAAAATTGGTCCAGATGTCAAGTGTCTTTGTACTGACCCTGGACTTCTATTACCCCGGGCTAATTTGACATTCTGGCGTGATGGGAGCCTGGTGCGTGAACGTAATGCTATGCTACCCACGATATCTTCTAAGGTTTGTGGCCATCTTTCGGCTGATTTTTATTGAACTAGTAATTTCACTTTACCTTTTACTTGGGCAACTTGGCATATTATTACGCTTCATTCTTTGGGAAACACTTGGATTTGATTGATTTATTAGATAACCAGAGTTAGTTTTAAAAAAGTTGATTGGGTTAGATTTGAGTGGGATTTTGAGTTTATATTAACATAATATTTAAAATATAATTATTAAAGTTGATTTGATGTAAAAGTAGGAGAGAAGTGCTAATAATGGACTAGATCAAAATGGCTCAATTAAATTCTAGTGCTTCTTCTATTAGTGAAGTTTCTAGAAAAAAAAGAATATATCAAACGGCGCAATGCACCTTGGGTCCCTACGGAAACAACCTCCTTGTATAATTACAAGGGTAAGGTCTGCGTACAACTGACCACCCCAGACCTCAACCTGTTGGGAATATACTGGGTATGTTGTTGTTGTTGTTGTAATGAATAGTATATTAAAGTTGATGTGATGTATGAGGATGATTGATTGGTATTACTTAATTATTTTGATAATATTGAGGAGGGTTGAGTTGAGTTAAATCTGAGTTAGAATTTGAGTTAAAAAAATTGTAACCAGATAATTTATAACCAATCAGGGCCTTGATACTTTGATTGCCCGTGCGACTTTGTCTATATTCTGTAGCAAATGGAATGTAGTGGTACACCCACATATAATCTAAATGAATATAATTTAAATGAGATTGTCCGGGATCAAAAGCCAAAGACTGTGCTTTTGGATTTTGTCTTATTTTAATAAACCAAGTATCTGTGAAATAACTTTGATACTACACACACACACAATATATATATGTGTTGTTTGTCGTTTCTCTCTAATTTCTTTTCTGAATTCTGATATAGCCGACCCCACTTAGTGGGATTTTAACGACTTCTTGTTGTATATGGTAGTTNGTTTCTTTTCAGGTAGGACTGCTGGACCCTTATAAATGCATTTATTTAATATTCAAGGTGTTTCAAAATGATTGGTGAAAATTCTTGTTAGTTTAGCATGTTCCTTGTGGCTATCTATGGATTGGCCTCCTGGGACATGTCGAAGAAACCCTTTTCTTTTTCTTTATGTGGGTGACACCTGTATTTAAAGCATGCGGATGTTTGCCTTGGAATGTAATTTAAGAAATGAGAAAATAATAGATTATTGGTTAAAGTAATATTATGGGTTAGAATAAGATTCTTTAATTTAGGTTGACAGAGTGACCTTGGGGTATAAAACAAGATTTTAGAATAATATTTCTTGATGTGTCATTGTTAATCTGTTCAAATAGCTCGGGAATGGCTTACCTTTAAAATAGCCAATATTGATGTTTGACACAGTGTTTGAGCTCTTAAGTATGGATACTGTTTTCTTTCTTCCATTATGTAGATTTGTTGAAGTGGAATATATGAATGTGGAAAAGGCACATAAAACTTGTTTTGGTGAATTTAGACTGCAGTGTCATTGTGGGAAATGCAGGAAACTGTAGGAAGGTATTGATCCAACATACTGGTGTGGAAGAATAGAATATTGTGTTAAAGTGGCTGAGGAGCACCTCGATCTGGCCTATTTTGAATAAATTTGTATTCCATCAATCACCCTCACTGTTTGGCATCTTTCCTCAGGATTGGTTGGACATTGATTTTGGGATTGCTGAAGGTGTTGATTTTATTGCCATATCATTCGTCAAGTCCGCTGAAGTCATAAAGCATCTTAAGAGCTATATCAAGGCACACGCTCCTGATAGGTAAGTCGTATATGCAATCATTTTTAATATTTTCCTCTCTGGCAACAGCGAACCCCCAAAATCTGCTCGTCCAAAATTTTATTCCAAATTAATAAACAGTCTCTTTAATAAAATAGCAATATTTTGAACCAAATCCAAGTTCTTCACAAAAACTTGCTTTATTTAATATTTACCATGCAGTAGAACCTTCCATCTTAATTCAAAACATGTTCACGTAACTGACGAAAACTTCTGTGGTAAAAAATGAAGTGACATCTCCGTAATTGCGAAAATCGAAAGTATTGACTCGCTCACAAACTTGGAGGAAATCGTTCTAGCTTCAGATGGTGCAATGGTGGCGAGAGGTGACCTCGGAGCCCAAATCCCGCTAGAACAGGTTCCGTCTGAACAGCAAAGAATAGTTCGAGTCTGTCGGCAGCTGAACAAGCCCGTAATCGTTGCAAGTCAGCTGCTTGAATCCATGATAGAGTACCCCACGCCAACTAGGGCTGAGGTGGCGGATATTTCCGAGGCAGTTCGCCAGCGTTCGGATGCTCTTATGCTTTCTGGAGAGTCTGCCATGGGTCAATACCCGGAAAAAGCATTGACCGTTTTGAGAAGTGTGAGCCTGAGGATCGAGAAATGGTGGAGGGAGGAGAAAAGGCACGAGGCCATGGAGCTGCCGGGCATAGCATCTTCCTTTGCTGATCGTATTTCGGAAGAGATATGTAACTCTGCTGCTAAGATGGGTAAGCGTATATTTTGTTTAGTTCTGATTAGCAATGTGGAAAATGTTATCAAAGGGAGAATTGTGATAGTGCCTATTGGTTTAGTTTAGTTTATTGCAGGAAACTCCTGTTATCCTTTTGAAATTATGATTTGCCCCCCTTTTCCTGTCAAATAGGCTCCTCTTTGGTGATGCATTTTTGTAGAACTTAAAATGACGGTTGTCAGGTGTTTGTCGTATTGAATATAATTGGTGTTTGTTGTAATTAGGCTAGACCTAGTGAGTAATGTTTGCAAGGGATAATTTTAAAGGAAAACCCTGATGTTTGTCCTATTTACAAAGAACTCAAAAGTTTTTCTAAAATTATGGATAATTGTTTTAGATGGGAGAATTATCGAGCCCCTGAAGTTTGAGCTAGTTACAAGAAACCAAAGGTTTCACAAAAGCTACGATATGAAATCCCCCTTGATCATTATTATTATTATTATTATTATTTTCTTTTGGGTTCTTCTGTAAGAACCCAAACCCTGAGGACTTTTTTTATTTTCCTTTCTGTAATTCGACCNNNNGACAGACTACTTTCCAGTAGCCGATAAAATTGATTCTGCTGGATATATAGTACAAGATTGATATATTGTTGTGCAGCGAATCAACATTAGCGTTTCCCTTTTGTTAAGTGCTAACTCCAGGTCTTATTTGTAGCCAACAACTTGGAGGTTGATGCTATATTCGTTTACACAAAGAGTGGTGACATGGCATCCCTCCTTTCACGCTGTCGACCTGACTGCCCGATTTTTGCATTTACAACGACTACTTCTGTACGTCGGCGCCTGAATCTGCAGTGGGGCCTCATACCTTTCCGTTTGAGCTTCTCAGATGACATGGAAAGCAATCTCAACAAGACTTTCTCGCTGCTCAAGGCCAGAGGAATGATAAAATCGGGTGACCTGGTTATTTCCATCTCTGACATGTTGCAGTCCATTCAAGTTACTAATGTCCCTTGAGATTTTGTTCCTTGTTGTGTTACTTGGTTTCTCAGGAGCATTATTTCTATGAAAACCCTATTTATAGCACTTATAGTGCAGTAGAGTCTTGTTGTTCAACTCCAAACATGTTGTACCGAATGTCTCGAGTGATGCAAGTTTAGACCCTGAGCTGGGATGTGTTTTCCTATTTTTTGTTTCTGTTATTTTGAATTTTCATAAATGGTGATAAGTATTTATTCTGATTTGTTCTATTAGAAGTTTCATTTCATTCAAGATGACCATATATCATGTGATCAAATTAGTATAAATATATTCTGTGATTTGCTTCATCCTAGCAGTGATCTCATCGTGATGTTTTTTTTCTTTGATTGACTGACCCCTTGAAATGGATTGAACCAATTGCAGTGTGACAAAGAAGAAACGCCATTTATTGATTGATTTGGCATATCTGACCAGGTCTGAGTCCCAAGTAAAGAAAATACCTTGATTTCTCAGTGGAAATGGAATTTGCCAACTTTGTCGTTTCCCTCTTATTTTCAATTATTATAATCGTGACTTGGTTTCCTTGATAACAAGAAGCTGCTGAGAATAATATACTCATAGACTAATCTTGTTTAGGTTTACTGACTTGAGCATTGAAATGCTAAGTCTCAAATGTTCATGGGGGATCGGAGCTTTCGATCCCCAGCTTATCAATGTTCAATTGAAAGGCAGTGATAAGTAGTTTGAAATTTATATCTTCAGTTTTACTAAATAATTTACTAGACTTATATCATCATGTTGGTAATTATTAATGTAATCCNTGTACGTTTTGTTTGGGTGATCTTTGTATGTAATTTTGTTCGTTGTAATATACATGATCAGAGTGTGCAATGAGTTTATAATATTTATTTATTAGTAATTTAAGCGTTATGGTATTTATTTGCTTACTTTCAAGAATTTTAAAAACAGAGTATTTATTTACCAGTATTTTCACTTTATGTTCGTGTTCAGTGCCCGTTTTGATGGAAGGAAAGATTTGACTCTCTTATTCGCTATTTGCAGTTCCTTCCTTGCCTTACATCTTCCTCGCCTTTATCCTGGTCTGGTAGATTCACGTAAATATAAAAAAAAGCTAACAAATAGCCTTAAAATTGTTTACACCGTGCATCACAAGAGATCCGTACTAGTTAGGGTCTTATCCGCTATCTAAACATTTGACCAACAGACAAGTAGTTGCAATAAACTTTAATAAAACAAGGGTTACTTACAGAGATTTCTAAAAATCCAGTTAAGCTACAGATATTTTCTTGATAGTTGCTTCTATTTCACAAAGGGTATCATAGCAGCTCATAAACAACAGCAAAAAGGAACCAATGACAGAATGAACTGAACATGTAGCCAGCCACAGTTTCCAAGTAGCCAGAAAATATGCAGACTCGAGTTGTTAGCTCGACATACAAATGCATAATAATGGTGATAACCACAAATAAACTGTAAAGAACCGTTCAAAAATTACAAATAATTTTAGCTCACCCAAAAGAAACCTAAAGTAGCATTATACAGTGGAAACATATATAACCTGCTTGCAGTTGCAAGCATAATAACAAGCCTTTTTCTGTTGGTATATGCTTCACTCTTTGCCATCAGCAGCTCTGAGAGAACCGAGTTGAACTGGGGCTTGTGTCCCGACAACTTTTGATGAACCATAAGCAGACAAATCAATTCCCTCAGTCTTCTCCTTCTCAAGCTGTTCTTTAATCCAGAAATATGTGATTCTCAGCCCATCCTGCAATGGTTATTAGCATCAAACACGCTCCCAACCTAAAACTAGCAATTCAAGATCCAGTAGGCATGCAAGGTTAACACAATTGAGTTCCCGTGAATTTTTTATTTTGTTTGGATTTTTTGGTTTTGTTTGGTTAATTTTGAAAAAAGTAGTATGGTTAGTTGTTAATGAGATTTTGAGTTTATATTAAAATAATATTTAAAATGAAATAATTAAAGTTGATCTGACGTAAAAGTAAAAGTAAGATAAATGATGTGAAGTGACGGTTAATTAAAATTATGTGAGTGGATGAATAGTGAATTAAAGTTGATGTAATGTGAAAATGATTGAGTGATATTATTTAATTATATTGATAATATTGAGGATAGTGGAGTTGAGTTAAAAAAAGTGATTGGTTAAAAATGATTGGATTTTTTTGGGAAAATCCATATCCAAGCAAGCTCTTAACAACAAATTTCGGTTACCTTTAGTTTCATTGATGGGGCCCACCCAAGCTTTTCCTTGATCAAAGTGTTGTCCGAGTTTCGACCACGCACGCCTTCAGGCCCCGGGATGTGATGGATAGGCAACTCTTTCTTCTCAAAGCTAAGGACAATCTCGGCCATCTCATTCATGCTCACCATCTCATCACTTCCGATGTTCACAGGCTCCCGAAAATCGGATTTAGTCAATCTGCAAAACATTAGCAAGTCACTAATGGTAGTAAATATAAGCACACGAGTTTTAAAACGAAGCTCGATTCTTCCGAGATTCTCGACAAGCCATGAACAAAACATAACTAGATACTGAATTTCATATTGAGGATTAATTTCAAAGTTACCCCAACAATTTAGTTTAATTTCACCACTTTCGACAAAAAACTCAAACCATGTATTTGTATAGCGAATAGTAACTTCGAAAATTACAGCTATAACAAACATAAGAGATTTAAGTAAGCAAAAGTGTTACCTCAGAACACCCTCAACACATTCATCTATAAAAGTAAAAGATCGAGTCTGGAGACCATCTCCCCACATCTCAAACTTATCAGTCGATGTAAGTGCTTTCCTACAGAAGGCAGCTGGAGCTTTCTCCCTCCCACCTGCCACAATCGATGAAGTTGATGAATTTTGAGGGAAGTCATGATTAAATTAAGTTATAAATATTTTTTTTTCCCTTTAAATCATCTTTCAGTTTACCTTTCCAGGTTCCAAACGGACCATAAATGTTGTGGAACCTTCCTATGCGGCATTCGATTCCAAAGTCTTTGTTGTAGTGCTTGCATAACTCCTCAGTTGCAAGCTTTTCCAGTCCGTAAGCATCTTGAGGCTAAATTTAAAATGCAATACAACACATTTAGTTCATACACTAATCCCTATTTTACTTTTATTTATTACATGAACTTGAGACTGAAATTATATAAAGATTGTCAGTAACATAAAAGATAATCAAATATTTAAATTAATTGTTAGCAGAAATTACATAAATACCTCCGCAGGCCATGCATCAGATTCTTTCAAGCTCACATTGGTCTCCAACTGCTTAAATTCAGGATAGATACACGCACTGGAGGCATAGAAAAACCTATACACATAGTAAAGGTGCATTAAGATTTTCTGCTCACCATATTATATTTCAAAATCCAAAACAATGCACAAGACAGATACGAACAAAACAAGAACACAGAAAGATCCAGAGCTCCTTTCATAGTGCAATTTGCATTGACTTTCAGAAAGATCACCCATTAAAGACAAAAAGATAAATAGAAAGCATATCCTAACTAACAGAACAACGAAGCAATTACTTTAATAAAACTCCAATAAATGCACGTAAACGCTAAAGCCAAAAAAGACAACAAACAAAAGATCGAAAAGAACACACACCTCTTAACACCGTTAATCCTGGAAGCCTCGATCATGTTAAAACTGATCATCGTATTATTGTACATAATGACTGAGTGGTTCGACTGGATGAATCCCATGCCTCCCATATCAGCCGCAAGATTGAAAACGTGGTCAACGCCTTCAGTCACCTTCAGGCAGTTATCCATGACCCTCAGGTCAACAAGATGAAATTCGTGACAGAACATTTCTTCAGTCATGTGCTCGTTTTTCTTCCAGTCAGACGCGATTACATAGTGGCCCTCGCTCTTCAAACGCCTGGCGATGTGGGAGGCGATAAAGCCACCGGCCCCTGTGATGGAAATCCTCAGCTTTTGAGAAGGCCAATAGGGCTCACGCTCGAGGTTCTCGTATGTGTAAGCTCCATAGATGGTCTCACCTGTGCTGCCCATTCTGTGATATAAAAAGGAAGAAAGACAAAAGGGCTTGAGATTTTAAATTGTGCCCAAAAACAAAAAAAGTAATATATGGTAGGTTCGGCCAAAAAAGACGTACATCAAGGCTTATAACAAACAAAAATGATAACGAATGGAAGCAAGGGAGGAGATTATATAGTTTGAATCAAAAGCACCCATAATTGAGATATGTGATAAAACTGGAATGTACAAAGAAGGCAGAAAAACCGAAGGAACTTCTAACAAGAAAAGCAAACAAACTCAAAAATCCAGTCATTGTAATTGCTATGCTATCTAGTAAAGCCAAAACAAAACCATCCTTGGAATCAGGAATTGCTTTGTCTGAGCTACATATGAAAACATCAGAATAACGTGAATGGTTCTGGTATTCAAAGTAATTAACGGTTCCAAATAGAACACAAACAAATGGTAGAAAACAAGGACAGTAATCACAGTACAATTGGTCAAGCACTAGATCTTTTCATATTTTTATTACCAACAAACAAAGCATATGCAAACAAAAATAACCTAACTCAAATGCGTCCAAGTTAAGCAAACAAATTTAACAAAAACCCACAAAAAAATAAGCCCCTAAATAACAACAGAAGGCTGCATTTGTGAATTTAAAGATACTTGAGCCGAAATAAAGAGTCTTTACTCTTTCACCAGAAACAGAGCACACCCACCGAAATACCCCAAAATTCTGCGAAAAATTACGTAAATAAATAGCTCACAGGCTTCCAGCAAATCAAGCAGAAATGCATTAAAATGGCTCACAACAAACCCATCAAGTCACCAATGAACAGTAATTATGATAAAAGGCATGGTGAAACAGAGCACACATCAAATCATTTTCAAAGAGAATGACCCGGAAATCTGTTTACCTCAACGAGTGTGATTTACTCCGATGTAGAAATTAGCAATGGCCGACGTAAGATAGATAAATAGAAACTGTAATAGTAGTTTTCCTTTTTCTTGTGGATAGACGGATCTCAACACCTCTGGTAGCCGTCTATATATATTATCTCTGGCTCTCTGCCTTTGCCTTTAGTCTTTTTAATCCTTATAAATATGATTATATTAAATTAGGGATAAGTCTTTGGTCTTTTCATAAGTTCTCTCTCGTCTCACTTTTATTTTTGGGCCCTTTTCTATCTTTTCCTAATTGAGGGGAGACAAAATGTGTGGTGAAAAAATCTGCTACTACTGATAGATGAATGGGCCGTTTCAATTATTTTCATGACGTGTTTTGATTCTCTTCAAGTAAATTATACTAGTACGACACCCGTGTACTACACGGTTGTTTGAAAAAAAAATTAAAACATAAAATCATAGAAAAACACATGTTGTCGTATAAAAGTGCAAAAATAAAAATTACCAAAGTCGATATTATTTCAAATTCTAAAAAAATTCTTAGTACACAACATTAATAGTTTTATTTACAATATTTCTATCTTTATCCCAACACAGAATTTTCAAGTCTCTCACTTTTAACTCTAGATAATGCAACATAAAGTTGGTTGAATTAGAAAGCTTTTGTAAAAAATATTAAATTTTTTATCTTTTTTTTTTAAAACTAAAGTAATTAAATTTTATATAAAACATTACATTGGGTTTTAATTAAATTGTCAAATTATATTTTTTTAATCATAATAATTAAACACACGTACATTAAATGAAAATGTCAACTCGTGTTGAATTTTTTTACTTGTATCATATAAAAATATCGATATTATTTACTACTACATAAGTACAAAAATATATATCTTAAATAAATAAAAATAATATGGTGATAAGTATATGCATAAGTGTAAAATATGTGTATTTAATATTAAGTATTAAGGAATTTAAAGGTGTGTTGGATTCAGATCTAGATAATAGTATTTATTAAGTATTTTATAATATTATAATATTAAGCAAAAAATCATATTTACACTGCATATAAGACAAGAATAAGAATTCTATTTATTTTGGAGTTTGAGGAGATCAGATTAAGCAAATATAATTGTATTAATTTTTATCCGAACCAAAAGCCGAAGCATGTAATGTTGTCAAGTAAGCTTCCGAAGCATGCGAGCCAGCCATCTAAGCTCAACACGTTTTGAAATTATATTAAGAGGGGATTTTTTGTTCATTTTTTAAATTTTCTTTTCATTTTTATATTTCCAAAACAGTTGTATCTATAGTTTGGAACGGATTTGTTTATAAGTTTTATGAAATGAATTTTCTAAATTTAAACATTGATTTTGATACTTGAATCTGAATCTATTAATATATAAATAGGTAGAGAGATTTAATTGAAATAGCATGTAAAAAAAATTGATTTTACTATTATTGGTAAAGTTGTTTGAAAAAGAAATCGGTTGTCTCGCCTTAAGATTTTTTTCGAATTTTAAATTGTAGATTGTTGTCAAAATCCGACAAATCATTTCTAACAAAGTCTTGCCATCTAAATAGGTAATTAGTTGTTACCATATGTATCTAACCATCAAAAAATCAAAATTTTCAGGAAAATCAAGGAGAATCTTATTTAAGTTAACAATATTATTGATAGAGATAGTATAAGAAATATATTTTGTTAACTTTTCATATCCTTTTACAGTTTGAAAATAATCTAAATTTAATTTATATGAAATGTTTAAATTATTTTGTTGGATAAAGTCTTGGAAAGTCTCAAATACAAGATGTGCACTACATATTAGTTATAAAATATTAAAATTATAAACAAAAACATTAAAATAAAGATAAAAATAAAAAATGAGATAAAAAAGAAAGACTAATGGATAAGAAAAAATCTTAAAGGGTTAAGAGCCGCACGTTAATAGGGTCACGTGGCCTAATAGAATTGGATAGTTCGGGCAGATCGGACAGTTCAAGCAGCTCGGGCTGTACTATCGGGCAGCTCCGCCAGTTTGGGCAGCCCATCCTGGTAGTCTTGGGCAACAATGTATCACCTTCCTATATAAGGGAGTGAGGTATGCTTATTATCACATTACATTCTCTATTATTCCATACACTATTTCTCCACTTTATCTTCTACAAATGTTCATTTAAGCATCAGAGGCTCTTCACGGAAAAACCCTCCGGTCTGAGAGTTTTTGCAGGTTCGCAGGCAATCTACCGGTGAGGAAGCTCAAGTTCAGACTGTTTCCAGCCGATCCGAGGTCTTTTGCTTACCATTTTAACGCCGTCTGTGGGACCTTCGTTCAAAAAGCCGTGAAGCACCGTAACCATGGTAGGTGAAGTTCCCATAAAGAACTTGTTGGGTTCTATTGAAGAATGTCATCGATATGCATATCTGAATTTAACGAATTAAATCATAACGCAGTGGAATATATAGTTAGGATTAGGACTTACCGTTTAAAATTTTGCCGACTCTGTGATGTTGTAGATTTCTTCTATAGGAAATCGTCTAAACCGCAGAATCTGTTGGGTAGTCGAACTTAGCCTCCTCGGCTGATCACGTGTCACCGGGAAGTAGTCGGGTCGCGATCGGGTCACTGGGAATCGATGCGCATCAGGCGCTGTCCGGGTGTGTGCGCATCGGGTCGCTGGCGTCGAGTCTGCGCGTCGGGTGTTGTCTGCGGGTCGCGTGTGTCGGGGACTGTAGGGAGCTCGTGCGCGTCGAGCGCTATTCGAAGTCGTTGCAGGTCGCGCGTATGCGTCCAAAGTCGCCACGGGTCTTTGCGGTCGTCTGGGAGCTGGAGCGTCGAGCGTGCGAGATTTTCGAGACTCACCTGGTCACGTGCGGTGTTGCCGGTCCTGGGACGTCTCGGGTCGCCTATGAGCAAGTAAGTTGCGGCATTGCTAGCCGCTTGGGGCTCGCAGGTGAATCACGCGTGCGGGTGTCACCGGGGTTGGCTAGATGCGGTGGTTTTCGGCAATTTGGTGGTTGCATGGAATTTTTTCAGTAATAATTAATTCACCGGGGTGCCAAAAATTATATCTTATGATCTTCTAATGTATAACCTACACACTACTTCGAATAATCTTGGTGGTGCGACTAAACGGAACTCCCGAACTCTTCTAAATATTTCACTCGGCTTTTTCCATTTTTTCAAGACAAAATTTGGATGACACACATGTATATAGGAGGTGTTGGGACTTGGTGTATTTATAGGCTACATTAGAGACCCTAAAAAAGTGCTAAATATGAGCTTCTTCAAATAGGGTTAAGAAATTTTATGTTCTTCCAACTCCTTCCCTTCTAGATGTCATACTCCCTTTTAATTTAATTGCCCTTCTAGAAACTCCATGTCTTCCTAATCTTGGTAATATTCTAGAAGGTATTAGATCCTCATACTTAGAAAAATTCTATAAAACAATTTAAATTCTTTTTTCTATTTGAATAAATAATAAAACATTCTACTAGAATAATATTATTGATCTCTCCATTTAGCTCCCAATTTATAAATAAATTCCCTCCATTCTTATTAATTAATTTAATTGATCGATTTACTTCCATATGTTTAAGATATAACGTTAATTGATTAATTTAATTACTAACAATATAATTAATCAATTTCTTTTATTTATTATCCGAAATTAGTACTACTCAGTTCTTGATTATTTTGTTGGAATTTAATCTGCATGCAGGGCTTAGCATAATAAGTCCTTCCTGAGCTTTTCGGGGACGTTATTAGGTCGGGGCATAATGAACGTAAATAATTTTAACAGCGCATATATAAACATCATTAATTATCAAAATACCGAGCATGTCATCCTAACTAAAACAGGAATCGCGGGTAAATTAAATAAATAAGTGATGAGTACATATGCTTGTTTATTATCTTACGGCTTAAGAGAACGCATCAATTACTGAGGTCTATATTATTTACTTGGTCAATATTTCAAATAATTTTCTCCTCTGTGGGTCCATTCAATACTTACAAAGTACTAGTGTAATTCATTTGTCCAAGATTAACTGAATCAAAATCACACTACAACCTTTACCAACAGACTGTTCAATTCTGTTTAGACTGTGAATTAATTATTTATATTTTACAAGGAACTGATAATATGATCTTTCTGTTTGACACATCGAACCATACTTTATACAATGTAAAACAAAGGACTGTATGCTTGCATAAATAAATAAAATGCAAACATACATACTTGACTAAAACAAAATTCTCGTTCGAAATGGTATTGTTAGAAACTAAAAGCGAGCTTTTACAGTATACCTTAACAGAACTTGGAACATACCTTTGACGAAGAGTGACCGAACTCTCGTCCATTTGGATCAGGCCCACCGCCGAGCTTCTCTGGACCTTTGCAGATCCCGGTGACCCCAACGCCTCATCCTACGGGCTTAGAGAGTTCATCGGTAGTCCCAACCTACGTTGCAGGCTCGAGCCAGGCGCAGGAGGCTCGAATAACTCAGGGCGTGGTGGTTCTAGTGCAGGCCCAACCAGATCTAGCTCAGGCACAGCAAGGGAGGATGATGGTGCAACTGATGGGGCCACCAAGGACAGAGGCGGAGCGAGCTGACCATCAACTAGTCACGAGGTCGAGGCAATAACTGGAGCAGATGATCGCAAATATCGTAGCAGCCGGAGCAGTTCAGTAGGCCACACTTCTCAGGCTACCATCACACTGACCACAGTAGTTGGAACAAACCAACAAGAGACGGAAATGGATGAGTCAAGAAGGAGGTTGTCGTAGAGATCAACCTTTCGGGAGGATGACGAAGCAGATTCGCCAATTGCAGGCCAAAGTGGATGGTAGGCCAACTGATCGAGCTCGAGGAAACCCTTTCTCGAGGGAGATCCTCGATGTAGTACTGTCAAACAACTTTTGAAAAATTAGCTTGACGTATGATGGATCGACCGACCCGTCAAGGTATGTGCGATTGTTTGAAAATATGCCGAGGAAGACACAATTTCTTGATTTCATTTCTCTATGTTATACATCTCAAAATGAACAATGTGCCGGTCGAGATGCTCCTAGACCCCACTCCCCCCTTCAATAGGCGGGCTACGGGCCAGCCTCGCTGACCCATTTTAACAGCTTTAGGCTGTGTTTGGTAAGCCAAATAAGCTAGCTTATAACTTATTTGGTTAGCTTATAAGCTCCTTGTATTCAAATAAGTTTCATTTGGTAGGACGAGTTTTTTTAAAAAGCTCGAGTTTATCTCATAAGCTACTCTAGGTAGCTTTTCAAATAAGCTAGTTGATTTTTTTATTTCAGCTAGCTTATCAGCTAATTTTACCAAACACTTTTATCATATAAGCTAGCTTTTCAGCTATAAGTCATAAACTATAGGCTTTAAGCTACAAAATTACAAATAAACTATCAACTAGTTTTACCAAACATAACCCTAGTTGCGTGGATACGGACTACAGACCAGACCAGTGAATTTAAATGAGCCACAGCATCAGGGTGATATCAAAATTAGTATGACCCAAACAGAGCCCATTATTTTTCAAAGAAATTGAGCACCGTTGTTTCAAAACCAAAATTATTAAATAAATCCTCCCCTTTCTGGACCAGTGCGTCCGCCGTAGCCCACTGGGAGAATGCAGAAACGAGAGCAAAGCAAGCTGGGCGGCTCCGCCCCCCCGCCAGCCAAGCGAGGCCGCCCTGTCGGCAGCGGAACCAACGCTGCTGCAGTCGCCGCAGCCACTGCCGCTGCTGTGGCCGCGGCCGGAGGTGATTCTGCCTCCCCTTCCACCCTCCTCGGCCCCTCTCTTCATGTCCACTCCGCCTTTGCTGGTATTTCTCTCTAAACCCCCAATTTCTCTGCAATTGGTTTCTGTGTTAAGCATCGGAGCTTTGCCATGTAAATTTGCTGGTGCAAGCATCAAAATCGGAGATATTTCTTCTTAGTGTCGTTGTTATTTGTTAATTTATGCTCCCGTACTAGATTTTAGGTTTGAACACTAAGTTATTTCGCTCAATAGTTGCTGGTGATTTAATAGATCTTGTTGTTATGGAAATTGTGCTTATAGGGAGCATGCTTTAGTATATCTTACACCGAGTTATTTCATTGAAGGGACCAAGAAATATCCACCAGTGACCCACAATGCCTAGAAACAGAATAGACTGTCATTTCCTTTGTTAAGAACATAGAAATATTAGTACCAGGCTAAATAACTCCTTTCCCTTTCGTGCTTATGATTTTTATTTACTCCTAATATAACCTAAGATGTGCATCTTGAATTAGAACATGTTAAAGTTTCTTTCAGTTCTCTGAAGTATACGAATTAGCTATTGTCCCATGAGTTTTATTCTTTTTTCCGATCACTTTACCAGAGCAGAATAGCAAAAGGATAGTCTTAGCTCTTCAAAGTGGACTTAAGAGCGAGTTGACTTGGGCGATGAATGCTCTCACTTTGCTTTCATTTAAAGAGAAGGACGAAATCCGGAAAGATACAACTCCCCTAGCCAAGATTCCTGGACTGCTCGATGCTCTACTTCAAGTTGTATGTTACAATCACTATTCTTATGAATGTACACGAGTCGTGCTAATGTCCTTAAATCAAGATTATTTTTAATTTGTTTCAGATAGATGATTGGCGTGATATAGCTCTGCCAAGGGTTCTCACGAAGGCACCTAGAGTGAGGTTGCTGGGTGCTAATTGTGCTGTTACTGGATTTGGGAACCAATACGAGACCTTGAATTTGAGCGACTCTGTTCCACATCCTATGTAAGTCAATATACAGTGTTTTAGTTATGTTGAGTTTATTGTATCATTATAAATCCTGAAATGTGTCATTGTTTGCGTGTATTAGTGCTGGATCTGGTTCTTCAAGTAAAGATGTTTCTGCTCAGAAGAATACCACAAAGCCCCGCGTGTCAGGTTGGTGGTTTGAGGAAGATGGCCTATTTAATCTCGATGATGAAGGACGTGTCGAAAAGCAGCAGTGTGCAGTAGCTGCTTCTAATATTCTAAGAAACTTCTCTTTTATGGCTGAGAATGAAATCCCGATGGGCCAGAATCGTCATTGTCTAGAGACAATGTTTCAGTGTCTGGAAGATTATGTTACAGGTGTAGATATTGGAACCAAAATTTGAATTACACTCCTTCCTTTAGTTTAAATGTGAGGCATAATGGACTTTGCCAATTGTTATGTAATAATGATATGTGCAAAATTGCATTTTACTTTGTGTTATTCTGTTGACTTTCTCTCGATATTCTTGAAATGTTGACAGAGGATGAGGAGCTTGTCACAAATGCCATGGAGACAATTATGAACGTGGGCCCTTTGCTAGACCTTCGTATATTTAGCTCATCAAAGCCCTCTCACATCAAAATGACGTAACGTTTTCGATTCAATCCTTTTTATCTCGCCATATTTCTGCAGACTTTGAGATAACAATTTTTTATTGAATTGCTTATTCTAGTGCAAAACGTGCGGTTCAGGCTATTATGGGAATGTTGGGGTCTGCAGTCAGGCACTGGCACTGTGCGGCTGCTGAATTACTTGGTCGCATGATACTCAACCCTGATAACGAGCCTTTTCTTCTGCCATTTGCTCCGCAGGTCTACTCATTTTATGGTTCACATCTATTTGTTGATTTATAAACTCAGTCTACGCTCTTGACAGAGGATTTATTATAATCACAGATCTACAAACGGTTGATTGATATTATGAGCTTCCCGGCTGGTGATGCTCAGGCTGCAGCTGTTGGGGCATTGTATAACCTTGCAGAAGTCAATATGGACTGCCGGACGAAACTTGCCAGTGAGAGATGGTTGGATATATATACTAAAATCTTGAGATACTCTGCAATAAGTTACTCTGCCGTGGATCTTACTTACATAAATGAAAAAAGAAATGTATAAAATCCAGTTACATTTAAAGTACAAACATCATTCCTGATAATTTTTCGATAATCACCCACAACAGGGTGCAATTTTTTAAAAAAGAAACAAAGATTAAAACAATGTAAGAGGGTTTTAGCAAATTTGAAAGATATCTCTGTACCCTGAGTATAGCATTTGCAATTACCTTGAAATTCTTTCGGTAGTTCTCATGGCACAGTTCGTTTCTAAGGTGCTTATTGGATTATATCTTTATTAGGGCAATTGATCGGTTACTGAAGGTGCTCAGGACACCACATCCAGTGCCAGAAGTTTGCCGGAAGGCAGCATTAATCTTGGAGAATCTTGTGATGGAGCCGCAGAACAAGCCATTGCTGCTGGCCTATGAGAATGCATTTGCAGACATGGTTTTCTCGGAGTCGAGGCATGCAGATACATTCGCTCGGATATTGCACGAACTGACTTCTAGGCCGAGCAACAAAGTTGCATCTGCTCGTGGTATTTGGGGCATGTAAGCTTATAGACCTCATGTCAATGGTGTTTGTCTATGGACCCATGTACTGCACAATGTCTTAATTTTACTGTAACATGGATTTCGTTTGTATTTGATTGTTCTAATCTGATTGCCGGTTGTTGATCCTCTCACTATATTTTTGATTTGTTGAGGTGCTGAATTGAACATCAGAAATAAGCATATGCTATCATGCCCTGACAGAAGTTTTGCATGTTTTTACCTCAACAACATGGGTTTGTAAAGTCAAAATTACTTAACTATTTCACATTACATATAGTTTCAATGTTGCGTATACACGATTAATTGTCGTATAATTGTGTCGATACAAGTTTGCTATAGAATACAGCCAGAGTCGATCTTTTCCTCACTCGCTGAAACCCGCCACCAATGAAGTAGACGACCTTGAGCACCGCTCGATAAGTAGCAAAACCCTCGTCGCCTTCCTCTGCAGATGCCCGCCCTCCAAAAAGCTTCGGCCCGCAAGCTGCACGAGTGGGCCCATGGCCGCCGGCCCATACACCTCTACCATATCCCTCGACAAGAACACCTTCTCAAGCAACCCTAGTGCCTCCCCCTTGAGCCACTCCGAACCCCACCTCAACACCTCGATTATGGGCCCAATTGCCCCATTCTCGTGCAGCACCCTCGCCCCTCCCCCGGGCACATCCTCCCGCACTAGGGTCGACAATGTCTGGATCGCCTCCCGAGTTGCCTCGTGGGCCCCACAACCCATGAGCCGCACGAGGCCCGGCACCACACCCCCTTCCAATAAGCAAAAAGTGGTGGTCGCCCCACACGGGCCCCCGTGTGCCGGGCACGTCGCCACCCTGCGGGCCCACAGTGCCCTGCACCCAGGCCTCCTCCTCCTCTGGCCCTCGAGGCTCAGCTCGTGGCTGCGCATGGAGAGGTCGCCCAATAAGGCGGCGGCCCGCGCACGGGCCGTGTCCGAGCCCGAATCGAGAAGATCTGCGAGAATGCCGTACGCGTCGAGGTCTGCCGCGGCTCTCTGTGAGTCGGGGCTCGTGGGGTCCGTGAACCGAAAGAGTGCGCCGAGTGCGTGCTCCCTCGCCTCGTCCGTCCCTGATTTCACGATGCTGACGATTGCCTTTAATCCGCCGAGCTCGATTAGTTTCCCGGTTAGGGAAGTTTCCGATTTGGGAAGGTTGGCCAAGAGGCCCGCGGCGGGCGCGTGAACGTCTGGATTCTCGAGGAGCCCGACTAGAGCCTCGAGACGTCTGGGTTTTAGTAGGTACTCGACGATGCCGTCCGGTTCGTGGTGGGAGAATAGAAAGAGGAGATTGATTGCTAGCTCGCGAATTTCTTGGTTCGAGTCGTCGAGCAACGGGAGAATTACGGAAACGCCACCGGCGAAGAGGACCGCGAACTTGACGAGCGTAGAGTCGGACCGGAAGATCGCGAGGAGGGAGCGCAGGGCGGGTTTACGGACGGTGTCCGGAGAGTGGAGGTTTTCTTGGAAAGATAACAAGGACATGATGACGGGATGCAAATCGAGTTGGTTACTCGATTTGTCGACGAGAAATTTTGTACCATCGCCGTTTGAGGAAAGATTGGAGAGAATCTCGGCGCATTTGGAAATTATGAGGACGGGTTTGGTGGGAGATGAGAGTAGGTTTAGAATGAGAGGGACACCGCCTGAAGATGCAATGAGGGGTTTGTTGTGAGGGGAAGTCGAGAGCTTTACGAGTGCTTGTAACGAGACTTCTTTCGATTCGATGTTTTCGGAAACCATCTCGAGGAGGGGGGGAATTATTCCTTCCTCGCCAAGTAATTTGATTTTCTCGTTGTCGAGCTCCATGTTAAAAAGGTCTCTCACCAGTGGTATCTTTACTGGTGTTGATCCTGAAAGCAGGCGAACAATGGTTACTATTTCTAAAACCAGTTAACAAATCCCCCCACATGAACACAAGTAAAGGAAAATCACTGGATATGCAGCAAGTTGAACATGAGAAGTAAACCTTGGATCAGCTTATCGATGAGTGGTCTGAACCAGTCCACTTTAGCTGCTCGAATAACGACATCCTCATCTACTTCACAAAGCTTCAATAAGATTTCTTCTGCTAATTTGGCAGTTTCATCAGGTGATGTCTTACGAAGGGAAACGAGATGCAAGATTAACTCGTTCTCCTGAGAAAGCATCCGACAATAAGTCGTGTTCCAACCGGATTTATCGAGCAGAACCTCGTGTAGCAACTCAAGCGCAGCCTTTGATATGCTTGAATCCATCCCTAAGCAAGGAACAACTTTCTCAATCCCCTTATTCTCCATGAAAATTTCCTGCAAAGTTTTTTTTTTTTTTTTTTGTTAAACCCTAAATACAATCTGAAAAAAGCTTAAACTACATGTTATGCTAATATTCACCATGAAAACTAACCTTGTTTCTGGCATGACCATCTACAATATCCTTCAAAGTCATCAACAAAAGCCTCCTCACACCCTCATTGACCTCACTCCCGACCATACTAACAACAACATCGGTCAAACCACCGATCGAAACCCAATCCCTATTGACCGAATTCTCCCGAACAAGCTCCCTCACCACCGAAAGACCCTCCACAACACACGACTCGAACCCGGACAACAATTTCCCTCTACAAGACCGAATCTTTACACAATAATTAAGCTCCCTCCACTCCTGGATCGACTGTCTCAGCTGCACATTCGGCCTGTACGTAAAATCCTCGATAATCTCACCTGTCTCCGGATCTTTATTCTCCCCACGTTCGAACCACGCCTCTAAAGCCTCCCTCTCGCAAGCTGTCCCCGTGCAGAGGCTAACGGGGTCAACCATCACGTTCCCCGTTATACAACAAAAGAAGGGCTTAAAGGGCTCGATAAACTCCTCTTTCGAGTCATACCGCTCGATCATTTTCACCCTCTGCAAGTACTGATCCTTCACGTGCTCGTAATCCCTACCAGTAGGGTTGTGAACGAATCGAAATCAAAGCGAATTTTCGATTCAGATTCGTTAAAATATTCAAAGATTCGAATTCATATTCGATTTGTAAACGAACTCAATTTTTCATTCGTATTCGATTCGCTTAGAATATTCGAATATATTCGATTCAATTCGAAATTCGTTTTTATAACAATATTGTAATTAAACAAAAATAAAATAAAATTATAATTACTAAAATATTGTTTATGTTTTTCCTATCCAATTTGATAGTTAATTTTGGATGTTTTTTGTATAAACAAAATATATATTATATATAACTTATAAAATTTATATAATTATAAATATTCGATAATTTCTAATCGATACCTACAAATTCAAATTCGAATTCGTTTAACTTTCGAATATAAAACATTATTCGTATTTAAATTTGAATCTGGAATCGAATAAAAAAAATTCGATTTATTTACAAGCCTACCTAGCAGCATCTGCACGTGACAAGAGCTCGATGACCTGCTCGAGAAAAAGCACCTCAGCCTTTTCTATCCGCCACTCGGCTTCCTCTTTCTCTCTCCTAAACCCGTCAAGCTCATCCGGGTCGACCCGTACGCCCACAGCCCGCGCGATCTCCTTCAGCATATCGTTCGCGAAATCCGGGCCGTTGTTGGGCTCGAGTTTATCCACGATCTCGAGACGAGAGCGTGAGGTCTCGTGTTGGGCCCTTTGCACCTCGTCTTGAAGCCTCTTGACGCGTTCGGAGATTCCGGAGAGGGTCTCGACGCTGGCGAGGGAGAGGGCGGAGAAGGAGGTCTCGATTTCTCGGGTGACGTGTTGGACTTGTTTCACGATGTGGCGGCATTTGAGGAGGAGGTAGAATCGGGCTCGGTTTTTGTACTTGTGGATGATGGAATTGGCTTTGTTGATGTCGGACTCGAGGGACTCGAGGGCCAGGCGGGCGGCGGGGGAGTCGCTGAGGTGGCGGGATTGGAGCTCGGTGAGGATTGGGTCGATTTCGAGGAGGTGTTTGGAGAGGAGGCCGAAGCTCTCGTGCTCGAGGAGGATGTCGTTTGCGGCGGCCGCGGTTTTGATGATCTGGCGAGAGAGGACGGCGAGGATTGTGCCGATTGGGACGATTTCGGCCATGATTTTACTTGAGAATTTACTTTTTTGGTCTCTCTCAACTCCAAACACACTGTGTGTTTTTTTTTTCCTCTCTTCTATCTAATGACTGAAAATTACAGTAAAACATAAAATGAGATTTGGGAACAATATCAAGAAAAGAAAGATGAGAATTGAAGCATGAGAGTAAGAAAATTAAACTGTGTCAGTAGAAAAATGTCTGAATGAAAATGGCACCCACCAGAGTTCAAAACCAATTATCATGATTTTAACTGTACAAACTAATGCAACTATTGGTGGAGAAAATTACCTTTCAAGAAGCTCAGAGC